TAGATGAAATTATCATGACAAATCACAGAATAGTAGAAGTACAGTTACGGCGTCAGTAGAATTAGGAAAGATTATTATTATTCTGGAAGAAAGAATGAATGTGCAAAATAAAGACCACAAGTATTTTAAGATGAATAAATGCATCTTCATCATTGCTACCGAGTTTTAGTTATGTCATCCAGCATTTCTAATGATTGGTTATAACAGTCGCAGGGACTGTACTCTACGTCTATCTTCGCCCGGATAGTTGAGATATGATCGTTGAACCACTTTCTGTAACAGTTAAAAGCCAGCGCACAAATCCACGTTGAACTAAATTTGCTTGACTTAAAAATAATGTGCGCTAGTTGTGTTGATGACTTGAACAGGAAATTGTAAGAAATTATGTAATAAAGACAACTTTGAGGTTTAACAGACATCCGTTTTTCTTTTTAAAGTTAAATATATTAGCTTCCATCGTTAGTAATTGGGGTTGGGTATACCAAATAATTACTTACTGCTATATAAAATGGTGATAAAATTTGTAGACAGTATGAAAATACTGGTGATTTTGTAGTATTCTTTATTAGGAGTGTAAATTTCGGACAAACAGAAATTTCTTCACGATCCTATCCCTAGAGTTCCAGTGGGGAACCGTGACCAGTGGAGTTCAACTATATTGGGTATGAAGGTTGAGAAGTATCGGAAATTAATTGAAGCTAGATTAACACCGGTTAGGTGGCCTTTGTTTATTTAAACACATAAACATTGGTATAAGGAGGCACCAAGTATGTATACGCCACAATTCATCATTCGATTTGTGTGAGGACTGGGATACTGCCTGGGTACCAAAACCGAAACAGGTGGTTTTCTTAGGAAGACACACCAGGAGCCTTTAATTTACAGGTCTAATCCATAAGGCAGTGGAGCAACATCAGGAGATACAGTACCATGGTAGCCAGTGACCAACAATAAATTCATACGCCTTTTGTTCCCTCAGGATCCTGGAGTCATGGGCTTGGAATCAAGGTTTTTCAACTCCCCTAGGTGAATGCTCTATATCCACTGACCCCGATAAAGCGCCGGACATTTGGTTTTTATCCTCTCAATTTCGTAAACAACACCCTCGCCTCGGGAAGGTAGTGAGTAAGACTTCCTTGGTAGTGGTTGTATACGCGTGACCATGTGAGGTTATTTCGAAAGAGAAAGCTAACTCGTCCACTCTTGTCCGTATCAAGACATTTAGGGGCACTAGGTGGCCTTGTGTTTGAGCGTTCCAGCGCGAGACCGAAGGACCTTGGCTTTGATCCCCTGTAGTGTGTTCGCCGGTGCGCACTGTTGATTTGCCTTATATTGGGACTAAACAGTTGTCTAATGCTTCCAGGTGTTCAACTGTGGTTTTACTAAATCAGTTCGCAACTCAAACTATGAAAGCTTTATGTATTGTCGCTTCAAGTTAGTGTTCGTAATTTTTATTCAAGACCATATTTGATGTGTTTGTTGTTTGTCCATTCTAAGTGGGTTCCCTTGATATCATCGTTTAGTTACACGTTTGCCCAAATTACATTTTAACTTCAGTTATGTAAGGATAAAGAAATGATTAAGAGTGATAGAGCATTAGTAAATTGTTTTGATCTACTAAATACGATGTTAGGTTAATTGTTTAATTATATTTATTGTCAAGAAAATAAAAACTATTGTACAAATTTTCCTTGAATATGGATGAATAGTTGGTCTAAACAAATTTATATGAATGAGTGTAATTCAGTACCGTACACATATATGTCAGTTAAATGATAAACTGATATGGTATGCTATAAACAACTCTAAACTCTTTACTTAAATCAACCATGATTTTCACCTACTGAATGAAGCAGACTATTCTTCATCTTTGAATTAGTATCCTTCATTTACATTCATACACTTATTTATTAGGTATTTTAATTAAACGAAATCTCAGTATTTAATAAAAATTTATGATTTGATTTAGTGCAAACCACTGATACTATTAAGAAATTGTTGTTCTGTATAGACTTTCGTTCAAGATGTAATATTCAGTTCTATAGCGGACTGAAGAGTGGGTAAGAATCAGTGTAGTTTAAAAAGTAGAAATTGTTAGCCTGATAAAAATTCATTCTATATCCTTATGCTTTTTATGTTTCATAAATGATGGCATGATGGAGCATCATAAACATTTTATTCACGAAATTATGATGGTTAGTTAAACTTCATTAAGAATACTGATATGTTCCATATCATTTAGTGACCCTTTTCACATATAACTTACAAAAATGCCTGAGTTACACCAGAAACTGATCTTATTGTGCTATAATCACCACTTTTCTACAATATAATCTTGAGAGATAGCTACAGAAGTTGAAGGGTATAGAAAGAAGACTAACAGTATTCAACTGTAAGTCTGCTATATCTTCGTTTTCTGTTACATTTATTGGGAAATGAGGAACCGCTACAATTCAAACGACACGAAAGAATGGTACAAGTGGCAGTAATGAGACTATATATTTCTAGATGAACCAATGAAATTAAAGATAGCAGGACTTGGGTTTCGGTATGATGTTCACGCATCTATGTAGTCAAATAGCATTTTGGCATTATAGCTAATGTCAGTTCATGATGAAAACTTTAATTCTTAACCCCGAATTCTACCTCTCAATTTTAATTCTTCACACTAAATCACCTTGGTATCACTCATAAAGTATAAACTTGTAGTGAAAATTTATTCCCTCCAAAACATAACGACAACTGTAGTCGAAAATGCACTAAGCTGTATATTGATGTATACACCGATTTAATTAGTAATTAGCAAAATATTACATGTATGAAATTATAAAGAAAACTGTACGCTGCATGTTATACTGAGTATAGTTCATGTTAATTAAAAATCGGAACAAGTATTCATTTAGAAAACTTATCAGGATTCGTTTTTGTGTTTTGATTCTTTCAATTTTTTAAGAAATAGATTAATGATGTGTAGTGACCTACTTTTATCAAGAGAACGCGATTGGTGTAATGGAAACAATTATTATTATAACCAATTGTACCAGTGATTGTTTTACTGTACTTGCTTGTTTATCTGTATTAAAGACATTCTTCCTTCTTTTTGATTGTGACCTTGCTTGAATTCGGTTACGCTCAGTAACCACACTTATAACGTGGCACGATCTCGGTCTTATTTCGATGCCACGAGATCGCCAAAATATACATCTTGACTACAGCCATCAACTGCCTTCTGATATTTGGCTTACGAAGGATCCTATCGGTTAACTGGCACGTAGTCTTCCTATTGTGGTGATCATAGTCAACCGCGACTCAACGCCACACTACAGATGCATTTATGAAGTTGTAAAGAGAATAATGTCTATCATATAACTACGTAGTTACTCTTGAATTATTGAGAAAGGTTACGTTAGTTTCATGATAACACAAGGTAAACCAGAATGATAAATTTAATTCAGAAGAATATTTTAAGAAAATGTTCATTAAACGTTTATTTAAAATGTATGATCCATTATTGCATAATGATTAAAGACGTAAATAATAATTAATAATGTCAAAGTGTGAATGTAAGACAAGCTAGTTGTTGAAACTGGAAATTTCGAATAAACCATAAACATAGTTATCTTATTCTGTTCTTGGGACCTTAGTTTTTTCTTTATTATACTTGTAGTGAACAAGAACACCAGTGGAGACAATCAAATGTATTCATTCTCCTCCCCACGTATATGTGCACTCAAATCTTATTGTTAGCCTTCGCTTTTCCTTTCTGTGCCCTTATGCAATTCGACTATAAATTGGCCTATGTATTCGCTTACTCGTACACATATTTGCCTCTGCTTCAAATTTGCTTGATGTGCTCATAGCTTTGTGATTTGTGCAATCCGTTAATAAACTATAGTTGCTGTTTCTTAATGCTTTCTAATTTGAAACACCGTTGAAATTTATATAATAAAAAGAGTGATTGATTGACACAGTGTAGTGTCGGTTATTATGTTGAGCCCGTATACCTTATTTTAGCTTTCGGACAGTCCATTCTGTTCATTCTACTTGGGTCACATTCTGACCTTGTTACTTATTCGCTTATCAATCTTGACTGCTTTTATATGAGAACGTAGGTGTGTGTACATTTCTTGTCCCATTACTCATCACATGTCTGTAACTTACTTTTGTGTAACTATAAATATTGATTAACGCTTGGTTAAATGGGAGTTGGCTTACCCGCCATCTCCACTGCGCGTCGTTTTGCTTCATTCTATTTCATTCACTTGATATACAAAATGTATGTATTCAAAAGTTCGTTCTCGTTATTTGACTTATTTAATTTAACGCGATTTAAGTCGATGATTATATACGAAGATAGGCGATATATATATTTCGATAACAAACAAACATACGATATAATTGGAGTCAGATCATGGGCCACTAAAGTGGAGAGGCCTTTCGACAACATTGTTCGATCTAAACAACGACAAAAAAGTAAAGCCACTAAAAAAAAACAGATACATTTTTCTCTTGAGTTAAATGTTTTCATCCTTTCATGTATTCACTAATTATTCATTTAACATGACAATAATTCTAAAATAATGAATCCTAAAAGTTTATCCGTAGTAATTCTATCATTTATGTATTAAGAAAGCAAATTCACACATAGAATTAGTCATTTTTATTGAACTATACTCAAGTAAAACTTTCACCTTCAATAGTCATAAATCATTTAAAGACTAACTTGAAACCTTGAATCAATAAATTTACTCTAAAATAATAGAATTCTTTTTCAAGTTATTACATAATGTATATTGTCAAAATACATTCTAACACATTTTTGATTTAGTTTGTTTAAATGTACACTTTAATGCAAGTTAATTTAATATTAAGTGCATAAAATTGTGTAAATCAATAATTTTAATCTCATTGGTTAGTTGTTTCAACCAATCAACTAACAGAATTGCTTAGTACTATATATATATATATATATATACATCGTCATTTGCAATATTGTAAATTTTGTATATTTGAGAATGTCTATCGAAATGAGAAAATTTACAAAACTGATTGACAATTATGGTAGAATTCATGATTATTTACGTATATCATTAACGGGAAAATGTAATTTAAATTGTAAGTTCAAATAAATTGGCATTTACTACTTATTTTTTTTTTACAAAAAACAAACAAAAACAAAACCCAATTAGGTTCATATTGTATGCCAAATAAATCATTTCGAAATAATAATCAAATCATATTATCCAATATAATAACATCTAATGAAATATTATTTCTTGCTAATTATTTTTGTTATCGTGGTATAAGAAAAATTCGTTTAACCGGTGGTGAACCATTATTACGATCCGATCTACAACAAATTATAAGTTTGAAATAAATTACAATTATCTATTTATTACCCTTTTTTTCCTTTAAAAAATAATAAAAGAAGATTTAAATGAATTAAAATGTCAACATAAACATTTCAATGAAATAGCAATGACTACAAATGGAGTGAAATTTAAGAAATATGCTGGAAATTTATTATTAGCTGGATTAAATTCAGTGAATATCAGTTTAGATAGTTTAAAATCTGAAAGAACTTTGAAATTAACAGGACAATCTACATTTAAACATTCAATGGCAGCTATAATTAAAGCGATTGAAGTGGGATTTAAAAGTGTCAAGGTACGTAATTATTTTATTTTGTTTTTTTTAATATTTTATTCGAGTGAGTTTTCATCATGGAATGTGATATGGTTCGGAGAACCATAAGCCATAGTATGATAAATTTCGTATTGAATTAGTCTGTCTTTGAAATATCATATTGAACATATCTGGATCATTGTATCTATGTGTGATAATAATAATAATAGACTTATTCAATACAATGTGCTTGAATACAATAGAGAATTCTTAGCCAATATTTTAAAGTAGTGTAACAAAGCCTTAATCAAGGTTTCCTACCGATTACCTTCAACTACCTAATGTTACAAGCTTTCTATAAAAGCACATAAAAAACTAATCCAATGGTTACAGCATTAGAATAATTTAGAACTAAGTCATTTGTATGTCAATGTGATGATTATTTTTTCTTACTCCATCTTCCATAAACAGTTATCCATTTTATTAGGAAGTGTTTTTTTACTTCACATCACCTAGGGTTAACTACCATCACAAGATTTCTTAAACGGTGAGATATAAAGAATAAAATGTGAACTTGTTTCAGTTCATTAGTTTTACGCACTTACTTTTTGGGGAGTAAAAGCCACCAACTCTGTCCGGGGCTCTCCTTTCCACTTGCACTTATCTGTTATTCATTCTTTTGATGTCTGTCTCCAATTCCTGACTCAGTGTGTTCTTAGGTATACTTTTCTTTTTACATTCAGGATTCCAAGTTAGGACTTGTCTCGTGATTTATTGTGATGTATATCCTATCCACCTGTAGAATCTTTCCATAATTTCCCATTCAGCTGGAAGTTTGTTTGTTCCCTTCCTCAATAGGTTGTTGATGACGATATCCGGTTAACGGACATTAAGTATCTTGCGCAGAGAACTGTTTATAGATGTCAGTACTTTTTGATTATGGTTATAGTAGTTCTCCACGTTTAAGCTCTGTACAATAGAACTGTCTTAACGTTTATATTGAAAATTTTGATGCTAATCAGAATGGCTTTACTTATAATCAATGATTGAAATATACATAGAATAAATTACATGAGAATTATGATTTTATTGATGAACATAGGCCAATCTGAAAATATTGACAAAGTTTGAGATGAATAAAATAATTACTTAGTGCCGAAGTGTGTTAGGTTCAAAATTAACTCTGGAGTTCATGTTTATTTAGAAATAATATCTTTGAATTCTCGTTTTGGTACACTACAAAAGTATTAATAATGTCATTGTTAACAATGATATTATCACCTATTAATACAGAAAACAATTTTTCTGAATATTATGAATGAATCACTGGGTAGCTTTAAAGGACGAAACAACCAGACTGGATTATTTTATAGTATGCTGTAAGATAGAATTTGTACTAAACGGGAGATTAAAAAAATCAAACATTGATGTTTATTGAATAATTAACTGTACGTAGGAAAAACCAACAACATTGAAATTAAGAAAATGGGTCAGTGATTCTAAAGAGTTACAGTATAAATAAAGAATAATTATAGTTCTTTGTTGAGTTAAACGATTGATATAAGCGATTGTTATAATTCTCTATGTACATTATCATTCAGCAGTTGTATAATTGAAATCATAATATATTCAGAATAGCTTAATCCAATGAGATGGATAGTGTTTAATTGTATTATACATGATACTCGTTTCGTCTTGCATTGGACTTATCATCTGAATGTAGCTACGCCCCGGTGTTGATGTTCACACACCGATGGGATCCATTTATTTCCACGTCAAATGCCCTACGCATTGTCCATTGAATTACTAATTCCAGATAACCACTAACTTGTTTAACATGTATGATATTTATGCTATTATGAGAAAAGGATTAAATTCAGTAACTCAGTAAGCAGTGTTTTAGATATTTGACACGAAAGGAACTGGGTTCAAGTTCCGTTGCGAACATCAACTCCAAGATGCAGGTATTCCGGCTGACGAGTCCCAAATAGGACGAAACTCGCATCCTTGATTTCACTACTATTCACCATCCATCTCTGCTTATAATGCATGTGACTTGAGGCAATATCGAAGGAATCCGCACAGGATGCATATATGTCAATAAGAGACTGATCACTCGCAATGCTAAATATCAATGGGAAGATCCAAACTACCACTACAAAGATGAATTATTTCTGATGATATTTAAATTATTTGTTGTATTAAAAAAGGTATACTGAGATCAAGAAATAAGGTCATATTCTGAGTAAAATAAACAGTTCATAATCGAATTCAATTGTTTGTTTACTGTGAAGAAGTGGTATGCCATCAGTTACGAAACGTCAGAAATACTCATTGGGATATCATAAATATATCATTGTTTCATTACTAAAGTTCTATTCAATGTTCAATTTATTTGAAATTATCATATCCAACCTTGGTAATAATACTTACATAGTTCATCAGATTGTTTCCGAATTCATTCAAAAACAGAATAAAGCCTGACTCTCACATTAATTAAACATCAGAACAGTGAACAAGCGTTGTAAAGCACAAGTACATTTCCTTATTTTAACATGCTCTAAAATTATAGGTGCAATGTTATATTTAATTTTACTTAATAATTAATAGAGTACTTCCTAAATTTCATTGGTTGTCTAATCAGTGTGAGATTACCCTCAAATGATACAAAGTCTGCCCCAAACCACCAAACATTTCTTTAGCTTTTTTGGTTGAGATCATGAAGTGATTGATGTTAGACCACCATTGAAAGCCTGGAAGCACTGGATGGCCGTTTCGTCTTATTGTGGGACTCCTCAGCAGTAAGCGTCCAGGTTTCCAATGGTGGTCTAACATCAATCGGTTCATGATCTCAACCGAATAACTTATTAATCTCCACAACCCTATACTGATAATTTCTTTATCTGTATTATTTGTAGGTTAATTGCGTAGTTATGAAAAATTTCAATGAAGATGAATTATGCGATTTTGTTGAACTGACACGGTATTTAGTAAGTGTATGTTTGTATAGATTAAATTTCATTTCATTTCTCAGAATAGTTTAATTGGATGGTTTGTAATTTTATCACAAACTTGTATGCAGAGATAAAATGGTGCCTAGCAAAAATGCCCAGGACGAGCTTATCATCCTGTGTGGACATATCAGCTTGATGTGCCTGGACTACATAATTGGTGTTCATTCCATGACTTGATCCCTGTACCACTCGTTTAAAATGTCATCGCTTTATCTACTTAGTTACTGAGTTTAGATGGACGCTGGCTTGTTCAATGGGATGAAGTTTAATTTATTTATATTGGTTGTTCGAATCTTCCCATTGATGTTTTGCACTGCGATTGATCAGTTTCTTATTGGCATGTGTGCAGCCTGTGAGGATTGTTTCGATGTTGCCTCAAGTTATAAACATTATAGGTGAAAATGGATGGTGACTAGCAGTGAAATCCTTGTGACTTAAGTGAATATAGAAGGAATCTGCACAGGATGCCAATAAGAGATTGAACAATTGCAGTTGTAAACGTCAATGGAAAGTCTCAGACAGTTGATGCGAAGTATTTTATTTCTTTGGTATTCTGTTGATTAAGCTTGTTGTTTTAATCATTCAATATTTTGATTTTTTTTAAACAATAGTTGTCGACGACATAAACATTTCAAATAGTCACTATATTTATCAATGAAATGATCCACCAGTGGTTACATTCAATTTTTCATTGCAAATTTTGCATATATTTAAGTATGTAATAAATAATTAGCAATGCAAATTATGCAACCGAATAGAAATCAGTCTTAGGTTCTTTATCAAGAAATAAAGTAGGTTTCAAACAAATAAATAATAATTTATTCTGAAAATCATTACAGAATTCATACCGATTTACAGTCATGATCAGGTTGATACAGATAGTACATAAAGGAGAGATATATAGCTTAAAATTGTTTATAATTATGTAATTCAAAATTGTTTTGATAATATATTTGTTACATGGAATTACAACAATATGCGGGATCATTTGAGAACTACTGAATTTTTTGTAGGGGTACTGGAATATCCTATTGATGTATGAACAATGTAGTCAAGGTTGGTTCCAGTATCATTACAGAGTTATTATAATCTTCTACAACTAAAAAAGGACAACATAGAGAACACAGAAAAACAACAGTAAACACTTATCTGATAGATTTGCCATTATGCATATGCTGAGTTGTTACATGATCTATTGATTGGGTTAGATAGTATTTAAATCAGTTAGGCTTACCAAGGACGGTGTAAGTGTAAAATGTCTTCATAAAAATGTTTAGTGAGTGCGCTCAGTCATACCAGCCATCGACCATTTAATTTTTTTCTAGTTTCATTTGTGGGATGGGATATATTTAAAAGTGTAAAAATATTTAGGGCAGTGTGAGAGGTGAGCTAAGCATTACTACAATAAACGAATGTTGAGAGTGATTCAATTTCAAGGACATGTTTCAGCAAATTATTCCAGAGTATCAAAAATCTACTGCTAAGATAATTCATATAGAAAGAAAATTTAGGATAAAGCAGTTTCACTAATGGTAATGAATTGTGAGTGCTATAACTGGATGTTTCATTCTGTTGAATTCTAGCGCTGAACGTGAAAGTTATTTTATTAAACATTATGAAGAAATATTAAGTGCAGTGTAAATCTCCTTTTCTATAAAGGGTCGAGTGTTAGTTTGTTTGATCTAGATATATGGTGTAAGGCACAGTCATTTCCCAAAAATACGAAGTGTGAGTCGCCGCTGAACAGATCCCAGTCATTTTGTGCCTTATACAAACACTACTAGGAATAAAGTCACATTATACAAAAGGTGTTCGAATGTATACTTTGTAAATTAAAATACGTGAATCATAGCTTTAACCCAGAAGTCACCAGGTCTTGGAAGTCCATTTGACAGACTTTTTGAAAAGACAAGGCTTGAGAATGCGTGAGTTCTAAGTCAATCACTGCGTGAAACCTACATAATACTGTACCATTTGCAGACAAGTTAAGATTGAGAAAAAGGTAGCTAAAACAAACCCATCCACCACACTGCTTTAAGATCATCCGCATCTAGAAGAGGCTTGTCCATACAAAAGCGGTTGCAAATGTCATTTATAAAAGCTAAAAAGAGCAAAGGACCCAAGATACTACCTTGTGTTATCCCACTTCTGACTGGGGTGGTATCCGATAAGGAGTTTCTTTTAATTATTTGGTGACGGTGAATGAGAAAAGAATTAAGCCACTCAAGCACTCAATTTTCGATCCCTTAAGATGAGAGTTTGTCTGTAAGAATCCAGTAGTTAATCATATCGAAAGTTCCAGGAATGTCACATTTTAGTACTAAAACTTAATGTTGTAGAATATTCTAAACTCCTATAAATTTTGAATTTTCATATTATTTCATGCTTTTCATACTGCGAATTCATTCATTTCGTTAAAATGAATTTTCTCTTTTCACTAGTGACTAGCTTTATAAGGGAATTCTCGGAGTTCTAGTGAGAAACCATGACCAGTGGAGCTAATCAGTGTTGGGTAGAGATCGGTATCTACCTCAGTACAATGAAAGATGTTCGCGCGATTTCGCGGATTGGTTTAGGTTAGACATTAACACCGTTGGATGCCGACTCAGTGGTTTAAAGGCTAAGCATTCGCTCGCCAGACTGAAGGCCCGTGAACGAGATCGTGCATGCGCACTGCTAAGGAGACCTACAATAAGACGAAACGGCCGTCCAGTGCTTTCAGGTTTTCAATGGTGGTCTAACATCAATCGATTTATGATCTCAATCAAAAAAAGTTTCTGTTTAGCATAATATCATTGTAATTAAAGTTATGCGGACTCATTAGGCCGATCCGTATTTCTATCGTGTCTTATGATGTTTATAGTTAATGTTTATAAATATATATATACTTCTTTCATCATTCTTATGATTTCAGCCTATTGAAGTACGATTCATTGAATATATGCCATTTTCTGGTAACAATTGGGAACTATCAAAATTATTCTCATATAAACAAATGTTAAATATTATACAAAATTCTTATCCAAATTTAATTTGTTTAAATGAAAAATCATTTGATGTAACAAAAGTAAGCATAATATAAAATACTTTTGTTTAACATATAAAATTATTTTAATAATATGACCCTCATTTAGTTCGAGTTAGTAGGTGGACATTCTCACGGTCACTTTACTATTTCATCTACACATTCGATATTTCATGGCATAGTGTTATAATGAACTTGTGGTGAACCAAAAATTCATGTGTTAATATATTAAACACAAATTATTACACACAAGAAAAATATACAGGATGTTACTTAAATTGTCAGGGATTGACGTATTCAAGTTTGTTTTGATCTGGTAATCCACAATTATACTTAGCGTTACCCCCTCAATGGAGCCTAGGCCGCCGGCCAGCATTCTCCGCCTGACGCCCCTCTAAGGCTACTGCTGGTCCCAAGCCCGGTCAAAGGAAGAGGGTTGAGCATGGGGTTAGCGGCCCCATCCTGTAGAAAACTAACTTGCTAAAAAACGCTAACCAGAAAAAATAATTCAATCCACAATTATAAGTAGTTAATAATTCCAATTATAATTGTTATAGTTCGAGATGTATATCCAGATAAAGTATATAATGAGAATATCACTGTGATCTGTAAATGTAGATAGCAAATGTATTGAAGTTCTGATATCATAACGGCGGGTGATTGAGAACAAGAGGCATATGTGTATAGCAGTTTATTTGTGAGCGATAATCAGTGTGCCATGCTATGGGGGATTCAAAAACGAAACGGAAAAAACTGTGCAGACGACGGATATCTCGAACTCTACGCATCCGATAAACAAAGTAAGTGGTTGACTTAGTCAACCAACAATTCAAATGACAGAATCTCTAATATGACACATTCAGCGAAGCCAGTAAAGCAGCGATATGGACATGCTCAGTTCGTATTATCTTATCGGTAATCTGTCTTCGTGTCAACACTAGTCACTCATCTATTTGGCAGATCATTCCATTATGATTATAATAATTACCATATTCTTATTATCACAATAATGTAATATCATCACCTAACGTGGAATTATTATTGCTGTTTGTGTTGATATTAAATTATAACATTTACACAATTATATTACTCACCCATAAAATTATAATTTTATGAACATTCTATTCTCGCATTTGACTTATTTAATTCCTTTATTCACTAACTCGAGTTAAGTAGATGATTATATACGAGGGCAGCCGGGATGTATATTTCAATAATAGTCATTCATACGGTCGGCGAGACTATAATTTATGAACGAACTGATCAGATTTAGGATAACAGGTGTTGGATTTTCATCCATATACTTGTTTAAATAGTGTTTCGGCATTTTAGCTGATGAAAACCCTAAATCTAGTTCCTAACCTTAATTATCAACTGTAAATTATAATTATAATTCCTCACACAGGTTTATAAACCTCATTTAGTTCTAGTTAGTAGGTGGACATTCTCAAGGTCACTTTAGCATTGCTCAAAGGTCGTTCATAAATTACAGTCTAACCATACGATCCAATTGAATTCAGATGAAAGGCTACTAAACACTATACACTATTAATTCTGATGAATAATCGATTATTTGATTACAAGAAAATGTATATACTATATTTTTGGATTACTTTACATAATCAGTAGATTTGTGCGGTCTTAAAGAAAGATTATGAGCTTAAGGAATAAATCATTGGGATAAAATGAGATCTTTTATTTATGTATATAATAAGCCTAAAACTTGAATAAGAAAATAAAAAAAGGAACAGATTGATCTAGCGCTTGCTTAATAATTCATAAGCTCACTTTTATTTGAAGTGAACTTTGATAATGCTGTTCAGATTGAAGATGAACGCTTCATTATTAAATCATCCAGCTTTAAAAACTCAATATCACCCAAAGGTATGTGTTTTCAAAATGATCTAAAATATAGGGTGATATTCACTGGATTGTAAATTCATAAAAGTCAGCTCAAGTAAACTATCTAGTTCAAAAGACTTAACTTCATTGAAGGTTTTCACTATAACTAGAAATCTTCTCCATCACTACCAATAGCACTGGACATAGATCGAATAGAGTACCATATTATTATGTATAAAGATAAGCCATCATGATAATGAATCGTAGATCTTATGCTCCCAACTCAATTAATTTTTTGCATCCTACAAGTAAATGATCTTTAAAATCAGAATTTATATTTATGTCGGAAGATGAAGTGAATAGAAGACATTGAGAACAATTCCTTCTCGTGTTTACTTTTATTAATAGTTCAACAAGAACCATATGAATACGTTAATAGGTATAAAACATTCCATTCATTATAGTTTATTATATGAATAGTCTATTTAATCGTAACAGTTTAATTATCAAATAATAGTTTTTATTATCAAGATCTAACCTTACCAAAGAAGAGCTAAGAATCACCATAAGGCTTTTCAAACCAAAAAAAAACGGTAACATAGATGATCTATTGGTCTACATCCTATACTTAACTACTTCATTGGATAAGAAAGTCTATCATGTATGCTTTAAAGATTTATTGAACTAGAATATCTGATAGTGATATAAAGTATACAATTATATACTAATGTTTATAGGTGAAATATGAAGAAAAAAAAATTTTTTTAATATAATGACCTACTTACTGATCGTTGAGTTCAGTGATCGAAAACAATTTCCTTGGTAATATTCTCTGATTTCTTTCTTAATATTTTCATTTTTATAAAGCTTTTTCAAGTATCAGGATGGTTAGGTAAGATTGGTTTCATCACTTCAATGACTGAGAATTTTTGTGCTGGATGTTCACGTTTACGTATTACAGCTGATGGAAATCTTAAAATTTGTTTACATGATAATTATGAAGTGAGTTTAGTGGAAATATTACGCAACAAAATGAATTCACATGTAATTGATGATTGGTTTGCTGATAAGCCTAGTTATAATTTAAAACAATCTAAGCAATTAAATGAAATCTATGATCAACTTGATGAGATTGTCGATCAAGCTTTAACTAAAAAGTCTTCTAGTCACAAAGGTAAATGTAGTTTTAAACAACAACGTTTCACTATTAATTTGGACATTATTTTTAGTCCGTCCGTTTTTTTAAATTCTGGCAATAAGATAAACTAGAAGAAAGCGATAAATCTAATTATGACACACGATTTAGTTCATTGGATTTTTCTGTAATTCTTCTGAATTGATATCTGATCATCCACCAAGTAGATATAATACCATGAGAATTGTAAAGCAGGAGATCTCTATAATCTGAACTACAAACACCCTGATTACCGTAATTCATTGTATGATAATATGTAAGTGAAGTACATGTTCAAATATCGTTTGTTTTCTAGTGAAAACCTTGTCTTGAAAATGTCAAGTTAAGATGATCAAATGAAAACGCTATGAACGATAAAACGATTTGAGATGGAAAGTTTACTAAACATCTCAAATAATTTATGACATATTAAGTTGTAGAATGTAATTAAGTGATTGCTTTCGCTTATGCTAGACAGCTCGGAATCAACTAGACGATTTGGACTATGCAGTTGACTTGGCCCTTCTATCCCCAACACACCAACATATTCTGATGAAGACAAATAGTGCAGAAGTAGGCCTCAATATACAACAAGGAAAAAAGGGTGATCCTCAAATGCAACACAGATAACAATAAACCAATCACACTTGATGGAGAAACTCTGAAAGAGGTGGAAACTTTCACGTACCTGGGAAGCATCATCGGTGAACAAGGAAGATCGGTTGCAGACAGAAGTGTAAGAATTGGCAAAGTATAGACTTTATTCCTACAATCGAGAAAAATATGGAACTGAAAACAACTGTCAACCATCAAGACAGTCCTAATGTATGGACCTCGATCCAATCGTCTAACCAATCAACATTGTGGTCTACAGGACAAACTATGAAACATATATGAAGAAATTCGAACGCTTCACTTATATCTGAAGTTTGTGCTGATGATATCGTTCAGAAGAACGATGTAAGCTCCGCGATCAAACCGTCCAGCTCAGAGAACAAGATTCTATCCAAATCATCCACCTGAGCTAAAAATCTCCATTCAAACTTGATATTCGCTTAAATAACACAAAGTAATCGCTTTATTTTACTAAATTATCCCCTACATTAAAAGACTAATCCTATTTTTTTCCCTTCATGGAACTAAAATACTATTTACATTGATTATAAAGTTGAATAAACCATTTTACTAAGTTAACTGTAATTTATTGATTTAATGACTATTATAATTTTATTTTCACTTATTTAATTTATTTGTAAATTTTCTTTAAAAAAAAGTTGGCTATTTCTTCTATTCTATTTTTAAATGAACTATAGGTGCTATTCAACTTGCATCAAGTGTAAATCGTTCAATGGTTCAAATTGGCGGTTGAACAAATTTCAATAATCCTATCAATTTATATAGATGAATTTTGAATTAGGATAGAATAATTTATTATGTAAATATATTTAAATAAATATTGATTGAATAATTATACACTTTTATTTTTGATGTTGTATGTTTTCTTGTAAAACTGTATGTATGTGTTGTTACTTAAGAAGAATATAAGTGAATGGTAGCCTTAATGTAGTTAAGTCATATCTTGATAGGAACTTATAATTCAATTGATCGTTAATTTTAGTAATGTGGACAAATGTAAATTTATTGGATAAGACATTTTAGATATTTGAAGTTGTTAGTAGAAAATTATTTATTTGATTGAGATCATGAGCCGATTGATGTTAGACCACCACCTTTGGAAATCTGGAAGCACTGGACAGCCGTTTCGTCCTATTGTGGGACTCCTCAGCAGTGCGCATGCACGATCCCGCTTGCGGGATTAGAACCCAGGACCTTCGATCTCGCTCACGAACGCTTAACTTACTGGACCACTGAGCCGGTATTCAATGGTGATAGTGTCTAACATCAACCAATCCACAAAATCGCGCGACCAACTTCCATTGTACTGAGGTAGATACCTGTCTCTACCCGACATGGATTAGCTCCACTGGTCACGGCTTCTCACTAGAACTCTGAGAATCCCCTCACGAAGCTAGTCACTAGTGAGCACATGTTGATTACTAGTATAAGGGTTGTGGAGATTATTAATTTTTTGACTGAGATCATGAACCGAACTCAATCAAAAACTTAATAATCTCCACAACCCCTATACTAGTAATTATTTATTTATCAACTGAATTAGATGTAATTTTTATAAGTCACATGTTGCATTGATATTTAATGTTGACTCAGTATATGAGTAGGGTATGAGACAACTATCTGTTCAGTCATAGATTAGGATTCATGTTGATACGATTTAGATTAGTTTGACTACGTAGAAATACAAATCGTATTATATATATTATCTGATTTAACTTCTCAAAGTATTTAATCTTTTTCCTTAGTTCAGTTAATTTGACCAAATACTATATTTATTAAATTCATTTTGTATTGTTTGTTTAAATCATCTCATTGATATTTAGGACTGCGATTGACCAGTCTCTTATTGGTATATGTGCATCCGGTGCGAATTGTCTCGATATCCCCTTAAATCACAACCATTATAAGCAAAGATGGATGGTGGATAGCAGTGAAATCCAGGCAACATTGTGACAATCCTAACAGGATACACATATGTCAATAAGAGACTGGTCAGTCGCAGTCCTAAATATCAATGTGATGATTTAAACAAACAATACAAAATGTATTTAAACTTCACCGCATTGCACAAGCAAGTGGCTACTAGTATTCAATAGCTAATTGGATAACGCGATGGCGTTTGAAGCGAATGGCACTAAGTTCAAGTCAAAGAGTGAACATCAATTCTAGGATTCAGGTTTATCCAGCTAATGAATCCAAGATAGGAAGGAACGAACGTCCTTGACTCCTATGCCAGCCATCATGCATTTATGCTTACTATAATTATTATTTATCATGTTTGTATGAGCGAAATTATAACTTTTGGTTACTCATATCATTCTATCATGTTCATATTTTAATTGTTTCATTTACTAATTAATTATTGATGACGTTCGGCTATGTTAAACTCAATTACCTATTTTGACAAGAATTGAACTTCTGTCATTTTTAAAACGATTTTTCTGTTGAATATGTTAGTTGTAATTGATAAATTTGTATGATGAATAATGGTCATCAGAATTCACTAAAAGACTAATTATCAACTTTTAAAGTAGGGATAAAATGTAGGTAACGTGCAATCAGCTGATTGATAAATGATGACCGATATGATATTTGTTTAGTCGTTTAGTGATGATCAAATTCCAACGATCAAGTTACAGTGTAGCTACTAGTCTAAGTGAATTGACAAGGTGTGAACTATTTGGAGATATTAATCGGTTTGAAGTTATCAATAGGGAAACGTTGGACCTAGTATTCGTGCCATTTGGCACTCATCAACAAGGTTTAGGTGCGATTTTTAAGGAACTGATGCTTTCTGTTAGTGTTGAACCCACATCATTTATCTTCACATTTAGAAACGCTATTATTAATCTATTCAGGCAGCGACTGACCTCATGTAGAACCTAGACATTCACAATTAACTAATCATTGAGTAATCACCAGTATCATACTTATCTGACCCTTTTTGTCTGTCGAATTCTATGGATTAAAATGTATGTTACACATGAATTTACATTTGTGAGCAATTTTATTTACTTGAATAAGCCAAATGCATGTGAAAGATTAGGAGAATCCAAAATGAAATGAACTCTCTTCATCTCACAATGTTTACAGTTATCAGTTTATTATTTAACAAAGAATTCTAGAACTACCTTATGGTTACAATGAAGTAAATTCTTAAGTGAAAGTGTAAAAAATCTTATGATTTTTTAAACAGTTATTAAAGTTTTGGGAGTTACTACTAATAATAATTGATTGACCTGATCAAATAGTTTTGGAAATATAGACTACTTGTGTAGATGCGTCAATTTTAATCACTTTATAATTTGACAGTATTGCTTAGAATCCGTCTGAATAAGGTAAATGGTTCAACTCTTTATTTTCTACTAAATCTCAAGTTACAGTAATCCTTTATGCATACTTTACGTTACTAATTTTTAAAATCTATTGCCAGTGTCCAATTTTTCTCATCATCACTACTACACAGTTTAGATTTCTTCGCTATTCATCTTGTGTATGGAGGACAGCTGACAAATGCATTCCAGGTAAGGACCGGAGTCAGACAAAGCTGTCTACTCTCCCCCTCCCTATTTCTCCTGGTAATTGACTGGAATATGAAGACCTCGATATCTGAGGGAAAGCATGGAATACAATGGACAGCTCAGAATCAATTAGACGATTCGAACTTCGCAGATAACCTACTCTTTATATCCCATACACACTAACAAATTCAGATGAAGACAACTAGTGTAGCAGCAGCCTCTGCATCAGTAGGCCTCAACATACACAAAGGAAAAGGCAAGATTCTCAAATACAACATACAGAACATCAACCCAATCACACTTGATGGAGAATCCCTGGAAGAAGTGAAATCTTGCACGTACCTGGGAAGCATCGTCGATGAACCAGGAAGATCTCATGCAGACGTAAATCTAGGGCCTCATTCTTACATTGAAGAACATATGGCACTGAAAACAACTGTCAACCAATATCAAAGTCACAATCTTCAATACGAACATCAAGACAGTCCTAATGTACGGAGTTGAAACATGCAGAACTACTACAATCATCATCAAGAAGGTACAATTATTTATAAGTAGTTGTCTATGTACGATACTGAACATCCATTGACCGGATACCATGAGCAACAGCCTCCCAGCTGAAGAGGAAATTAGGAAAAGACGATGGAAATGGATAGGACATACATGACGAAAATCATCAAACTGCATCACGAGGCAAGCCCTAACTTGGAATGCTGAAGGGAAGTGGAAAAGAGGAAGGTCAAAGAACACAATACGTCTAGAAATAGAAACAGATATGAAAAGGATGAATAACAACTGGAAAGAGCTGGAAAGGATTGCCCAGAACAGGTTTGTATCAAAGATGCTAGTGAGCGGCCTAAGCTCCTTCACAAGGACTAACAGGGATGAACATCTTGTCATATTAATATAGTTTGACAACTTGAATCAAATCATATTAATTCCCATTCTGTACAATAATTTATAACTGACTAAATCATTGTTTTGTTTCAATTGATAACTAATCTAATCATCGTTTTTCTTTGGATTATCAGAATTAGACAATGAATAATATCAAATTACCATAGATTATGAATTTATCACAATTTATTATGAAAATAAACAAGAAATAAAAAATAATAAAAAAACAAATCAAGTAAATGTATCAATAATTCGATAGTGATTATTTATTCACAAATAGTGATGCTTGGGGGGGGGGGTAGATGGTTACTAATTATAAAAAAATATACATAAATTATATTGAAAATTTATTCATTTACAAAGCCAAATCAAAGTCAAGTGTTAATTCTTTCTTGTGTGTGTATGTTTTATTTTCAATAATGAATAGTACTTTAATAAATGAAATACTCTTATTTTGTATATTTGTTATCGAAGAGATGAATTATATATAGATTATAGTGAATGATTCATGTAGAAACATATTCATAATGAAATTAAATGGAAGTAGATCTCAGAATAGTAATATTTCTCAAGGTTACTTACTTACTTACGCCTGTTACTCCTCGTGAAGGAGCTTAGGCCGCTCGCCAGCATTCTTCATCCAACCATGTTCTGGGCAATCCTTTCCAGCTCTTTCCAGTTGTTATTCATCCTTTTCATATCTGCTTCTATTTCTAGACGTAATGTGTTCTTTGACCTTCCTCTTTTCCACTTCCCTTCAGCATTCCAAGTTAGGGCTTGCCTCGTGATGCAGTTTGATGATTTTCGTAATGTATGTCCTATCCATTTCCATCGTCTTTTCCTAATTTCCTCTTCTCAAGGTTACTATAAATATTAAAGAGGAAGAATGTATTTGTAAAATCTCAGTGAATGAATTCGAAGTAAATCTAACGTTTCACCTAGCAATCTGGTTCAAGCTTTTTCAAAGAAATGCAATCAAACATCAAAATTATTGAAATATTAAATACGTATATGATTCTCCGGTTCACTGTATACTGAATAGGTCATTCAAACAACGTTAACAATATTTAAAGTAGGTATTTGCATTATTGAGTAAGATATATGTGGTGTGAAACGAGATTTTACAAATACATTCTTTCTCTTTAATATCTCACATCAACTCGGTGTCAAAATACTGTGAAACCATTCTATTAAATTTAGACGAAAGTTCTTATTTGTTACTCCAAGCACTTTATAATTAATAACTGATAAAATGTTGATTAGAAACCTTATCACAATAATCATTTTCTTTCTGAAAATTTTAACAATTTTTTGTCAGTCTAAGTGATTTTAAATAATTTAATGTAGCCATGACAACTAAGATGGTTTAAGTTCTGATAAAGCTATACTTAGTGAATACTTTTCGATAAAGAACCCTTATATCAAGATTAATCATAATCTTTGGTTTAAATATAGACAATGATAGTTGACGGATACGCTTTAGTATTGCATAATCAAAGCAATGTAGACCAGTGTATTCCAAGTCACTGTTCTATAGGTAACCTTCCTGCAATCAGGTCAGCGGGTTCTAACTTCGATAACTAAAGAAGTCATAGGTGCTCTATGCTAAGAAGTGCTATACTACAATGAAATGACTGTTAACTGTCGCCTGATTTTTAACCTGTGGTGATAACCATCTTCAAAACAGAAACTATGTCCATTTAACTAACTTTTATCAAAGCAGTTAGTAGATTTTCATTCAATATTTGTTTACATTTCGAATATGATAAGATTTTCAATGCTTTTGAATATTTAAGGGACTATTCTTTGTTGCTTTTAGAAAATTTAAATCGTTTCTCTTACATAATCATCAATTTTATCACAAGGAACCACAGAAAACTTCGTGTAATCAGTATATACATATATGCTTTTCTTTTCTAACGCATAAATATGAGTCATCACACTTTGATCAATTGTTTTAAACGTGCCATTGAACCAAATTTTTCAAACAGTCTAAAGAAATCATCAACACGATCAAGTATGACAACAGAACAGCAAAATCCAGTGAGCTACTTTTTCCCTTTAATTATAATGAAATCAGTAAAAGGAAATCCCCAGTAATAATTAATTATCAGTAGTTGAAATCATGAGTCAATTGAAGCAAAACCACGATGGAAAACCTAGGGGCACTGGACACCTGTTTCGTCCCGGTATGGAACTCCTCAGCAGTGTGTATCCACGATCCCGCCCTCCGCGAGATTCGAACCCAGGACCTATCAGTCTCGCGCGCGAGCGCTTAACAACGAAACGGTCATCCAGTGCTTCCAGGTTTTCCATTGTGGTCTAGCATCAATTGATTCATGAATTCAACTATTAAATTACTAAAATCTCCACAAAACCCTCTTCTAATAATTCTGTTATGACCTTGAATCGCTTTTACCTCGTTGACACTTTGTTATGACTTGACCTTGATTTGTCTAGTCTAGATTATGACCTTGGCGCAATAGACTGTGCAGCTTAACCTTGAGGCTAATACGCGTGAGTTCGAGATGGGGTAGAGAGAGAATTATTCGAGAACCTGATCGGTTGGCAAGCACGCGAGTGAGAGAAGACAAGACAGTTGGAACACTCTGAATTATGAATTAGTGCAAAAATGTACATGAATAAATAAGTGAATATCCTGACCACAATGTACGACAATTTGGAAAAATACAACTATGCCCGAAACTGGGAATTAGGGTAGAAAATAATATGCAAAATATTATGTTTAAATTACAATATTTTCGGAACAAAAAAGGTATGGCAGCGAATGATACATAGAACGAAAGCTCATGTTATGTAGAATAAAATAGGGACAAAAATAAATATAAGTGTTTTACAAGGTTTGAATGAAATGAAATAATGTCCCCAAAAAATAGCTTTCGTAGTTGTCTGGGCTTCTTATTTCCCTGTTCACAACAAATTATAATCTATTTAGTTATATATGGTTTATGGAAATTATTCCACTGACTGAGATAATATAAGATAGAATGATAATTAAAATAACTCATTATGTCATTGAATGAAAATAAAGAGAATTCAGTGAAGAAAATTTCCTTTTCGACAAAACCATTTACTTAAGTTATAGTTATATGGAAAATATATGTCTATAGAAGGAGAGAAAAGATTACACCATAAAATGATTCAAAACTCTTATTACCAAATGAGGTTATGCAATAATCAACGGATAAGGAAGGATTATGAAGGATGAAGATAATTTACGGGTCAGATAATTGTCCAATTGACAGATATGAAGAAAAACGGCAAAAATAAAGGTAATAATAATAATATAACTATTTTGATGGAGTTTTGTTCTCTGAGCTCAGAGGTAGTCAACAAGAAGCCCTGGACCTAGGTTTCGTGCTACTTGGCACTCGTCAACAAGGTGTACCTATACCTAACTACCTCCAACCATCATCTTATCTCAACATAGTGTACGCACTACAGAGCCACCTAGACTGGTGTCCACGTTGCAATGGGATTCGATCTGCACTAAGAAGGACCTGACATACATGACATTGATCACCACCCAGTGATCAATCACTTATATGTCAAAGAACTACAAGCATCATTTAATATAGTTTACCAAATATCTACGAGATGATGGCATTGAAAACACATACAATAAGCTGTTCACTAACAATATAATAGATTATGCTATAGGTCAGAGAGTCTACATTTTATCAAGCATATTTCAGTTATGTCTTATCATTTATGTGTAAAACAACAGGGAGTGATGATTGAAATTAAGGATACCCATGTTTAATATATAATTCGACCAGTTATAAAAATAACTTAGCCCTAACAGTCCATAATACAGAATCGAAAGAACAATAGTAGATTTTAGCTGGAGAACCTGGACCTCAATTTATTTAATTGTTGACACTTGTCAGAGAACTGCAGCAGCGAATTTTAGAAGACTAATGGTCCCTATGAACTTTAAGCTCACATCACCGACTGCAGCCGTCTAAGCTTCGATTAAGATTCTGTAGAATTGAGATATTTCGACTGGTTATTCGATGAATAGTGACTAATATTGGTTTATTCTGTAGTGCTGATCAAAAACAGCAGATCGTCATCAGCCAGAGAGTTCACAGAATATCGGATCAATTAGACTAGTAGACATATTTTAGTAAAATTTGATTAGTAGCAAAGAATTAGAAAAGCAATATATTAATTACTTCTCAGCGACCAAGCAATGTACATATTTGCTATCTCTGATAACAAGTATATTTACATTGCCTAGGTTTTGATATTCCATCAATACCATTGTATAATCGCCCTATGAATATTTATTTTGAAAACCTCTACAAAGATAAGTAAAAGTAGAAGATTTGAGGAATTTTCAGCTTGTTAAAGTGATTTCATAGGACAGTTATATGAATGTTTTGGTCTGTTTTTTTCTAGTTAGCGTTTATAGCAAGATTTTTTTCTATGGAACGGGGATTTCTGACCCCATGTCCAACTCTCCTTCATTATACGGGGTTGAGACCGGTACTAACCCTAAACGGGCTACAGCTGGAGTAATGACCGTAAAGTCAAGTAATTACGTGATACACGCTATTTCAGTAAATAGATTTGAACCATAATTTTAGATACAACACTGCATCAAGGAACAATAATCATCATATATAAACTAACTTAACTTGGAGATTGTCTTTTTTGTATCGCATAATGTACGAATCATTGCAAGTACACTGAATGAAACGTATTCACTGCTTTAAAATTGAGTTACGCTTTTTTTGATAATCAAAAGAATTTCGGTCGATTCCATGTATCTGTAATGCCGCATGAAGAAGAATCTATGCTAAGAGCTCGAAAATATAAAGGTTTTTATTTTGATTAGTATACTGTTCACATGGTACTGTTTAATCAAGTGAATCCAATCGGTACTGCAAAACCAAAAACAATACCATGTTCACTATTTGAAAAATAAAAGCTTAAATCATTTCGAACCTACAAGTACATAGTGATTATTCAATAGAGAACCATCATGAACATGTGGAAAGTTATTCGTTACATGTAACAGAAAATTATTTACATTCAAACAACATTTTCCCATATTTTTATTTTATTCACAGTATGAGATTTATTCAGCTGACAGATAGTTTGAACTCCTTTCATTTTAATAACTGAATTCATGAGTCAATATAAACTAGACCATCACTGAAAACCTGGAAGCACTAGACAGTCGTTTCAATTTATTTTTTATATATTTAAAATGATATCAGTGATATCCTGGGTTCGAATCCCGCGAGCCGCGGGGTCTTGGATGCGCACTGCTGAGGAGCCCCACAATAGGACGAAATGGCCGTTCGGTGCTTCCAGGGTTTCTATGGTGGTCTAGCTTCAATTGACTCATGACCTCAACCATTAAAATTAATAAATAAAAATTTAATTTTGTTAACATTTCAGATTGAAATTGGTGATGTAATAACTCGTTCACCAAAAATGATTGATATTACATCTAAAATTGTAAAACAATTCAATGGAAATAATCATAAACAAAATAGTATGATAACAGTTAGATCAGCAAAAGCAGAAGTATTTATATGTATTGATGATTATATAAAACAATTCATCCATAATCAATATATGATTACAGATACTAATTCAGATAAGATTATTCATGATAATAATGAAAATAATATTGATGATAATAATCATACAGATGAATTATATGAACTTTTAACACCAAAAGGTGATGTATTTACAGTGGCACGTTTAGCTGGAATACAAGCTGCTAAACAAACTTCTAATATTATACCATTATGTCATCAAGTAAGTTATTGAATTAGTTGTTTTAATAAATAAATAAAGTTTTAAATTTGCAATTGTTTAGAATGAGTTACTTACTTACTTACTTACGCCTGTTACTCCTAATGGAGCATAGGCCGCTGACCAGCATTCTCCAACCCACTCTGTCCTGGGCCTTCTTTTCTAATTCCATCCAATTCTTGTTCATTTTTCTCATATCTATCTCCGTTTCCCGGAGTAATGTGTTCTTTGGTCTTCCTCTTTTCCTTTGGCCTTGAGGATTCCATGTGAGGGCTTGTCTTGTGACGCAGTTCGGTGCTTTCCTCAATGTGTGTCCTATCCACTTCCAGCGCTTCTTCCTCCGCTGGTATCTGGTTTGTTCTCTTTCACAGTACGTTGTTGCTAATAGTGTCCGGCCAACGGATCCGAAGTATTTTGCGTAGACAACTGTTAATAAAAAGATGTATCTTCCGGATGATGGCTTTCGTAGTTCTCCAGGTTTCCGCCCCATACAGCAACCTTCTATACGTCTAATGCATATGCTTTGGCTCCTACATATAAACTAGTGAATAGTGTGTGAGTTGGATTGACTATTTCATACTGATTTATTTGAAAGCCTGACTTCTGGAGTATTTACCAGGTTTTTCCCATGTATGGATTGGATATATTGCAAATCGAATCTATTTCCGACACCATGGATGCGTATTGATATAATGAGAGAAGTGACGTTGACTGAGATCAATGGATGTGACAGTAAATGAAGAATTAGCTTTATGTAATCGCTGAAACCCATCTTGTGAATGATAGCGAACCTATCGTACATTTCAAATGCATTTTTTGATCTTTGTAGTAGGGAGTTAAGTGAATTATGTTGATTTTGAAACATGTATTAGTTTTTTTAGCAGTGTACTGCATGTATGTTGAAGGTATGCGTTTTACGAGATTGTTCTGATGGTATACTAACCAGATAAAATTCTCTCAATGAATTCATGGAATGAGCATTACTGCGAATAGTGAGTAAACCTTCTTTGAAGTAGATGAGAGTATTATGATAAATCTGAGCTGTGTAAATACAGTTCTTTTCACTTTAATGACATGATTAGGCCTAACGGTCAGGTCTTAATTGAATGGCGAATGAATAATTTACAAATTACTTTCCTCCAATCGCCTAAAATATTTTATCATGTTCAATGTTCATAATTTTTATGTAAGCATGTTATTTTATACATGAAAAAATCATTCGTTTGGTTAGTGGTCTATTCTTGATTTCTAATTATTCGGAAGCCAAAGTCAATCATACGGTCTCATGACTAACCATTACTCAGTCAAATTATATCATTGAGTTCATCTATTGATTCGTATTACATCCATCCACTTTAGCAAACAAAATTTCACCTCACACGAATACGCACTCCGTAACAGTGGCGACGGAGATGCGACCTATTTTCACCAGCCTTGTGTCTAGTCGATTTGAATTCAAAATAATTTAAACTTCCTTGTTCTTTGCATCGAGATTCCCGTCGCTAATTGATACGTTCTTGCACCGTATCAATAATTCACGACTCCAACTTCCATACAGTGATCTTGAGTGCTGTTGGATGTATGAGGGCGGTTATCACTTCCCGGTTGCCCACACGGTAGAAGGATTCTTCCAGAGGTACCTGAAAAGGAAGTCGGGTTAGAGGTGATCTTAGTGACCTGAGAGTGTGACCACAGTGCCCTAAGGACAGCTGCTTGAGATCGGTCACACACGACCTTTTTGTGAGTAATTTTTGTGTTAGCTCCGTACTTGTTGGGACCTTACCACCGGAGACGGATATCCGTGGGATAAGTCGAGGTGTGCATTTTTCGGGTCAAACTTTTCTAACTCCACCCTTCTTTGTGGGAAGGCAGCATTGCTGTTATGTTGGTTGTTTGAGAGAAACACCTTAGTGCCGTCACGCATTTACCAGAGCATGGAAAAGGAGAGGATAGACTAGTTCCGCTCACGGTATTAAAATCGGAGTCGCGAATTATTTGCAGAGTGCATGAAAGTATCACTCGGACACTTGATTTATAAGTATAATTTCTCTGTCAAGCATGCTATATGTAGCGTGAATAGACTGAACATATCTTTTTTGGTTGGAAGAATAAACAGATTAAGTCTAACTATACAAAGTCATAAGAATCTTGATAGTTATAGATACAACTAAGGGAATAAACAGAGACTTACACTTGGGTATTACTTGTGATTGAAGCTAATCACTTATCTTTAAAATAAACCACTAATAAAGGATATAGATTGACACAGGATGCATTCGACTGACATTTTAAAAGATAATTCGAAGAAATTATCAGCATAGTAATTGTACTAAATATGCTTATTGTATGCTTTTTCATGTATACTGCTTTTATTCTCTATTCTAGGTGCCCTTATCACATATTTCAGTCGATATTGGTTACAGATTAGGTAAAATTCATATACAATCACAAGTAAAAGCAGTTGGTCAGTCTACCGGTGTAGAAATGGAAGCATTAACAGCTGTTTCTGTTGCTGCATTAACAGTTTATGACATGCTAAAACCGTTACAAAAAGGACCAATTATTATTGAAAAAATTGAACTATTAGAAAAACTCGGTGGGTCGAAAGGTTCCTACTTAAAACTTGGTGCATCGAAGTAAAGAAAAGAATTTAATTATCCAGCTTTGCTTTGAATTCGATTATGTTTACAGTATTTTGCAGACTTTGATTTCTTTATTACGATATGTTGTCGAAATAGTTTGACTGTTAAAAGCATTTTCAAAGTTTGTTTCACAGGCAATATGAATGGAAAATGACATCTGACTATAGATGAAGCACCATTAATTACGGTAGGTATTTAGACAACTAATTTAACTGAGAAATGGTTAAGTATCGAGTTCAATGTCTGAAAACAAGCAGTGGCAAGTTTTTAACGGCTTCGTTTATGAATGATAGTGGGTTCTAAAGCGGATCTATGGAGTCTTGTCATGTACCATAGTTGAAGATAAAAATTTTAAGTTCATTAAATTTTAATGAGATGTACTGAGTTACCTTATACTCATCTGGTTCCCAAGAGCAAAACTTGTTTCACAGTGGTGTAAGTAGAATCAATGATCTAGTGGTGAGTGGACTCGTTATAGCATACGGTGCGCATACATCTATCAGACTGAGATCACTCGTAAAACATGTCATCTGAGACTACATGAATTTTGACTAATAATAGTACAACTTAGAAATAATGAGAATCACAGGATCAGGGTTCATCATTAAAAGAATAAATCATATAAGATATGTGGCACTGAAGCTTTTTATATAGATCAAAACACAGTAATATTTTAATAGAGAAAAAAAATTACCAATGTACTGAGAGATTATGTGACTGCTGAAATTTTCCATCTTAGAAGAATTATGTGAAGCAGAACTATCCAGACTCTAATAGCTAACTATTCTTATCATGTTTGTTGGAGACATCCGTTGTGTAAAAGCAGGTAAGCAGACGGAGACCATTAGAAGAGTTGTAACATTTTATCTGCACTTAAGAACAACTAAATATCAACTGACCAGAACATCGAACAACCATAACTGTTATTGTTAAAACAATAACTGATGCAGACCATTGATGGGGAGTTATTTCAAATTTAGAACAAGAAAACCATCCAAACTCATTTTCTTAAATTATTCAGAAGACTGTTTCATCAATAAGCTTGCTTGGAGTTCCGCTACACATATCGTCGTACAGAAACTTGCGCCATGCTTTATGTTGATAATACCTGTCTGTCTACACACACAGTAAGGTAAAAAGCAGAATAATCGGAGGTTGGAAAATGAAAACATTTGAGACAGATGCTTTTTGTTTTTATTACTGTTAAACTAAGAGGAAAAAAACGAATGTTGCACGATTCCCCCCAGTATGATTAATGGTGTATTACATTTCATAATGTAACATGCTTTGTTAGCATTCTAAATCAATGAGAGGAACAACTGCTCTTCGTCAAGCAAATAAAATATCCTTCTCAAATCACAAAATTACAGAGCATCTCACTAAAATCTGAGAACCATATAGTAAATCGTTAATTTGCAAAATATCAATCCATCATCTCAAACTTGACTGTTCCTGTTGCAAACATCAATCCATTGTCTCAGGTTTTATTGCTCCTGCATTTTAATACCAATTGCGTTCCGTTGCCGTTCTTTCCTCATTGACATTCAACTGAAATACATTCTATGCCTGACCACCGTTATATAAGTAACCCACACCACACTAGTCCCCCCTTTAAAGCATTCGTCTCGCCAGACCACTCCACTCGACGTCGACTCTTCGCACCAAACTATCCCAACTAACACACCAACTTCAGGCCCACAACGGTGTCCGCAGAACAATACCCTTTCCCTTCTGGTTGGCAGCGACATCAAATGTAGTGAACAAAACACCAGTGGGGACAATCGAATGTATTTGACAGAAAATTACAGAACTTCTTAATAAAATCTAACAGTCGTGTAGTAAATGCCTAATTTGCGAAGTGTCAATCAATTGTCTCAAAACGACTCAGACTTCATTGTTCTTGCATTCTGTTTCCATTCTTTACTGTCCGATCCTCTTGTCTGTCCGCTGCCAGACCTTCTGTTCACGACTAACGTCATATACTACTTGTGTCGATATAAGTAACACACACCACACTCCAGTCAGTAACAACGTAGAACTTCGTACGTACGTACATCAGTTCGAGTTACCATACCACACTAGCACACAAATGTAATTGTCGATTCAAATCCCGTAGCTGTATTGGTAGTTAAAATATAAGCAACAATTGGAATGATCAGGATTTGAAGATGTTATTCAAAGAGTGTAATCCAGTGAAATAAATTGGGAAATAGAAAAAAGGGACATGAAGAATTCAGATCAGGATTTGGGAGAACACAAAGAGTGGATTTACCTGCGCCATTGCAAACGATTTTGAGCTATGTCATCCAAGGTCTCTAACCATCGGTTGCTATTATCTCTCGGATCCCAACCAGGTAATCTACACCCACCAACATAACTCAGTCCACTTGTCAGTGACTTCATGGATTTGTGCCATGTTTTGGTCTATCCCTCCCTAACGTTCTCCCAAACTTCCCCTACACTATAAAACATCGCTCGTTGGTGGTTGGGCATACGTAACACGTGTCCCAGCCATCTCAACTGATCAAGTTTCACTACTTCATCAATTGATTTGCCATCCTTACCTAGTACCCGTTTCCTAGCAACCGTATTACTTACTCGGTGGTCCCAGGATGTACGAGCAGTGCTTCGAAGACACCTATGATCGAATACTAGTAACCTACGAATATCCTCTACTCTTACCGGCCATGTTTCACAGCCATAAAGTATGACGGTACGAACTGCTGCGCAGTAAACACGTCCTTTGGTTGGTAGACGGATATCTCGCCTACACACCACATTACCATATAGATTTGTCAAAATACATATCTAACAAACAATCAAAAACAGGAATTAATTGTAAATTATCATACATTTATTTATTTTTCTATATGTAAACGTATATGAGAATAATTGTGAGAATGAAATTAGAATGTTTTATTACAAAGTAGTCTTGATCACACAAATACTTCAGTTGACTCTAATACACATTATATACAAATGGTTAGGAAATTAAAGTATTTTGTACACCACTATGCAGTTAACAATGATTGATTATAGAAAAGCTTATTTTGGTTTAACTCCGGAAAAAACTGTCGGAGAAGCATACCATCGTAGTTCAGATGGTGATTCATACAAAACTTTGTGTAATTCTTTAGGATTATAAGAATCTATAGAATCAGGAACAATTTTCAATACATGAACAGGACAAGTCCGAGGTAAACGAAATTGTAATCGAGGTAGAAACCATGAAGATGAAAAATCTTTTGATGTACATATATATATGTAAGTACGTGTAGGAGTAGAACACTTAAAAACATTATCAAAAAACGGAACCTGTACAAGAGATTCGAAAAATTCTCTGAAAGAAACATCTGTTTTATCGGCATTTGTAGTTTTAGGATAGAAATCATTGATATCTATGAGAAATGCTCGTTTTGGATTACTTGGTAGACCACCAATCATAATCAAGAAATAAAGAATAGATTCTGATTTCGATGATAACAGATTAGATTCAACCTCATGAATTGATTGTAAAAGTTTTACTTCCTTTGAGTGTAAATTATCCTGCTCGTAGGTAGAAAATAATAATAGTCAGTAAGGGATTGTGAAGAATGTTGAATTTTATTTAAAGCATAAGCCGATGAATGTTAGACCATCAATGGAAATCTAGAAGCACTGGGATGCCGTTTCGTCCCAGTATGGGACTCCTCAACAGTGCGCATTCACGACACAGCACGCGGGATTCGGAACCCAGGACCGTCGACCTCACCCACTAACGATTAACCTCTCGACCACTGAGCCGGCATCCGACGATGTTAATCCACAATATTGCGCGACCATCTTCCATTGCGTTGGCGCACGCTAATTGGCTAATTCTTATCCAATCCGCGTGCGCCAACGCAAGCGTGCATTTAGCATGATTTAATCCAATCTATGTCCCACTAACAGTCTTCAGTGGGTAACTGCCTAACACCCAACACTGTTGAACTCCACTGGTTACGGCTTCTCACTAGAACTCCGGAAATTGCCTATCAAAGTTAGTCACTAGTGTGTCCAGTGCTTCCAGGTTTTCAATAGTCGCCTAACATTGATCGATTCATGATTTCAATAAAATAATAGTAATTGATCAATGAAAAGTTAACATACCAATTTTAATTCAATGTCTGATTCATTTTGAAGAGAATTTAAGAGTGATAAATCTGGAAATTGACCAGTAAAATATATAAACAGTTTCATTATTCTACAAATAAGGTTACACCGTTCATCAAATGAAAAATGATTAACTCCAACAGGTAAACAACAAAAGTCCATTTGTCGTTAATAGTAGGATTGAAACAAGTTATGTTCTAAATACATGATAAGCTAAAAAGCATTAAGAAAATAACGTATCACATAAAGTAAACTTTTAAAGAATACGAACAAAAGATGTGTCTAGTAAACTATGAAGTTATTAAAACATGATCACTGCAATAGCTTTGAAAGCTTCTAAATGAATAGTGAAAACTACCAGTCCACTGTAGCTTTGCATACTAGATTATGAGCGACAAATAAGGTGAAGATCAGGTGTTATAAAGAGACGGGGATTTAAACCTATTAATGGGTTTGGCCGACATTGGGGTGGCGCACATTCTTTTTTTCACCAACGTGATAAATCCAACACACGTCATTGAATACAGTAGCAAGACACTGCATAAGTCCGAGACTACTGTGTTAGTAGAAAATAAACGCCAGCCGTTGTATATTTCACAGAGAAATACAGACCATATCTTCTCTGTAGGCGTTTTTTAGTACAGACTGGTTGCAAGGCACTTCAGTGACTAATGAAGTGGGAGACGGCACGCTGGCATGAGTATCTATGGGAATCCAACTTTGAATGGACTCACCGATCAGGACGCCAGAGTGAAAATCTTGATTCATTGTCTGAGGGTGCTGTTAGACCACATGGAGATCGCCCTTAGTGAAATACACCTAAAATTTGTTATTTTTGGTTGGCGCGGCTGAGTAAAGCGGAATGAAGACGCCTTTAGCTATAAGTGAAGAAACATAGTTATTATATCACGCCGTATGAAACCATGGACCCACTAGCCCAACTTAATATTAAGGATAAAAGCTGGGAGGCACGGTGTTTCTGTGGGTTGTGAGGCCAACAAGTTTTAGTTGGTATTTCATTTATGCAGCAACAATCAACTTATTCACAGCGGTTCGCGGCACTACAATCCATGGTTACATTATTTCTAAAAAACGTTGGTGCAGATCTGAGACATGAACGAAGAAGGCAATAGTATTGATGGCCACGACAACAGCAGGACGTCCGAAATTACCTTGGAAGTCGTCAGGTTTGTGGTGGGGTAAAGAGCCCCAGAAGAAACATATGGTACCATTGGTAAATATGAAAGCTGAATTCACCGACTAAGAGCTGGCAGTTGATATAATTGAACCACTATAGGAAACAATAGAAGGAAGTATACCCTAGTAATAGTTAATTATTTTACAAAATAGGGCGGAACAGTTCCTGTGAGAAAGATTGATGCAGACGCGGTGGAAAAGGCATTGTTTGGTCAGTGAACAAAACGATGGGAAGCACCCAAACCTGCTTCGGTTTGGGCATCCGGGCAGTGTTCCAGCCCTCACACAAATCGAGTGATTTATGTGGGGCATATCTATTTGTTACCTCCTTTTGCCAATGTTTTCTTTTAAATAAATAAACAAAGGCACTCAGACAAGTGATTTAATTTTGAAAGCATGCTGATAAAAGTCACACCAGCTGTTCAAGATTGAGAGAAAGCGAACAGCCTATTATTCTGAAGGTAGGGGGTTGGTAGAGGTGACGAATATAATTTTTGGAGAATTATTTAGAACGTCCATTGAGACTGCTATGTTTAAAGGGATTATGAGTTCACTTAAACCTGCGGACAAAATGAAAACTTAGTGACATAATAACCAAATAAACTAACTGTCCTGATGCACCCCAGCCCCGCTAACTAGAGAGACGCCTTGATTCAGAAGAGAGTAAATGCATTCCACAAGCGGGTAAAAGCACGAACAAGCACAGGCACAATTCAAGTGTATATAAAAAGCATAAAAGTTCCTTGGGATACGTTACAAAATAGCACATTTAAGGTCCTCCCAAATGAGAAATACGACATGAAGGTGGTGAAGGTGAAAATGGTCGCTTTTGGCACAAGAACAAGAAATTCAAATTTGCAAAATAAAATTACAAAAATAAGGCATTTAACAAAGACAGGCGTCATTTTGGAATACATTGCTACTACATTGTTTGTTGGTATGCAGTGGAAGCCCACATGAGTTTGTAGTACATGGAGAGTCCATCTAGGGCAGTTGGAAAACCCTGATTCCAAACGAATGGTGCACATGGGCTCTAGTATCCTGAAGGAACAAATGGCGTATGAACCAATCGTTGGTCACCGGCTACCATGGGACTGCATCTCCTTACGATGCTCCACTGCCTTGTGGATCAGACCATGTTGAAGGCTTCGGGTGTGGCCCCCTAAGAACACCACCTGCTTCGGTTTGGGTACCCGGGCAGTATCACAGCCCTCACACATCAAATGAGATCTGTGTGGCGCATACATATTTGGTGCCTCCTTGTACCAATATCTGTGTTAAAATAAATAAAATAAATAAATAAGTACATACATTACACTTGTGGATAGGAAGGAAAATATGCTTTCTCAGTGATGCAACTGTTGTAAGCTAATGGGTTGATCCGTTAACGATTTCTGAGATGGCAGTCAAATTAATAGGTGATATTGTAGGCTACCACGGCTGGGTTCGAGAGAATTCGAAGAAAACACAATAACGATTGCAAGATTTGAAGTTCCCTTTGGAAATTGGTAGTAAAGCAGATGGTTGTGGGTCAACCAGGAGGTAGGAAGAAAAATGAGTGAATTGGGCCCAACTTGATGAACCGTCAGGCCAAAGACAAGACCTATTAGATAACGGAAAGAACGCAAAACTCAAGGAATTTATTTGTTCGCTATAACTGATTGAAGAAGCGTATTCTGCCCAGGAAAAGCTCTAATGATTGTAAAACCTCTGTCTCTTCTGTTATTACAGGAATAAACGGAGTAAGAGGAAACGATGAAGTGTTTGGAAACAACCCTAGTTGGACGGGGAGATTACAGCAGTTTTGCATAGAAATTTTGGTGTGAACGTGGGGTAAATTAATGGAGTACACAGGCAGAGTCCAGTGTGTATATAAAGAACTACATGGGTTTTTTTTCACACGAGTCGATGGTGTGTCACGTAGAAAACCCTTTGCAACGATAACTATAAGCCTCAAGTTACTAACTTATTTGTATATGGGTATGACTGCACTATTTTGTCGTCAGAGAGTAACCTATCCTTGACTAAAGGACATTTGATGTAACATGAGGGAAGCTAAGTAGGTCTGCACATGATTCTAGGACTATGAATTGGGTTCAATCTGGACAAACGGATTTATGTTGATCTAGACATTTTACAAACTTTATAATTTTGAGAGGCTCAAACAACACTATACTTAAACTAACATGGTAAAAGATTAGGGGATATAGCAAACTAGAAGTAATCGGATTGGAACTCTCTAGGCAGTTGTCCAACGACCCCATTATGGGAGCTATAGGCTGTCTAGAAATCTCTGTCTGGGAAATTGAATGTGTTGTGTCTTCATCTTCCTCTGCTTTATAAAGTTGAGCAAAATCTCGATTTCTTTCCATGGAAGTCATTAGACGAACCCGATGAGTTATTTTACCTCGTGTATGTTTTACACAATACCTTGTAGTATGAATAGTGTTGAAGTGATTCCAATTGTTTTAGACAGCTTACTTACTCCTGGTAAGATTGTGAGTACTAGACTTCGGCCAGAAGGACGGCCGAACGGACGTGGTTTATGACTGACAAAGGAGCGTAAATTGACGAACAGAATGGCGTCCTTAAAAAGATTCCATCGTATCACTGCGTCCACGAAGCTATACGCACCAGAGAAGGTAAGACTCTAATTTATGGACGAGCCAATCAGAAGCGTTTGAGGAATTTCAAGGTCACGGCGCTAAGTTCAATACGAGATTAAAATCATCATGTATGATGTTGCTAATAGATTTTGTTTTCTTTCTATTGCAGGGCAAGCAAGAATAAACGCTTTAGAAGAAGAAGAGCAAGCCCTACACGCACTGAACTTACAGGATGACTCATAAGACCGTTTTGTAAACTAGCTCTCTTTCTGTACAGAACCCGCGGATTTTAATTTTTAAAATAAACGTCTATTGGCCTCCATTCCTCGTTCTCTCTGTGGTGTAGAGTGTTCAGTTAACATTGTGTGTGTTGGGCTTTAGGTCTTCCCGTCTTCCAGTGACTGCTGATTACACGTGTTACAACTGGTGTCGGAGGTGAGATGGACAAACGCGATGAGAACCTAGACGAACCCCCTCTGATTCTAATCAGAGCTACTCCCAGTTCAACCCCACACCAGCCACCACTGCTCGAAACATCATCAGATTACTCCGTTTGGAAATTTAAAGTCACAGCGTACCTTCAGAGAGTTCCATTGACCGAGCATTTCAACTACCTTGTTTCCTACCTGAGCGATGAAGCAGTACGCAGGGCTATAGCGAACGGTTTTGCGGCCAGTAACACGCTCTCACAAAACTGGAGAATTCTAGGCGACTGCTTTTCCCTGCCCGTAGACACCCAGCAGATGACAATTCAGTTTTTGTCTCGCCACCAGGAACCTCAGGAAAGCCCCGTCGACTATTTTCACTCATTACAGCAGCTAGCAACCCAGGCATTCCCTAGCTTGGACATCTTGGGGCGAGAAGAAATTACACGCTCCCGTTTTATTGAAGGACTGCTGCCAGGTGCACTGCGAGAACATCTACTTCGAGTGCCACCGGCTGACACAGCCGACTTGAAACGAACGGCACTTCGGTTGTTGACTGCTGAAAGACTGTCAGTTCCATTGGCGACCTATCGACCAACCGTGATGACTATCGATGAAGCCACCGAACCTAATCTACAAGATAGCTTTCAAAGCGCCGCGGCTATCAGAGAGTTCCCTGACCGGAATAGTAGACGAGGGCAGCCGACTTCCACATGGAACGGACGGTCGTCAAGGGACAACTATCGAGGCCAGCAAACAGAATGCTTCTACTGCAGACGTTTCGGCAAAAATGCCAAGAAATGCGGGCATAACCGCGTGAAAAACAGAGGTAAGCAGTGTCGTTTGCATATATCGTCTTGCTATGTTAAACATTTGTGCCCTGTTACTAATAAGGGTAGAGTGCAAAGTACTGAGATTAATATACTATTAGATA